TTCCTGTGGAACCGCTATCTAAAATGTATTTCGCTTGAGCGACACTGGTCTCGCTCGAGTGAAACGCCCCCTACACAAAATTGGCATTCTCGGGTTGTATTTCGCTTGAGCGACTCTGGTCTCGCTCGAGCGAAACGCCCCCTGCACAAAATTGGCATTCTCGGGTTGTATTTCGCTTGAGCGACACTGGTCTCGCTCGAGCGATATTTGATGAAAAAATGTATCAATAAATAAATAAAATATAGTTAGATAGCGGTTAAGGTTTAACCGCTATTAGATGTTCACTTTTAAGAGCGGTTCAAGTGGAACCGCTATCATATACAACCACATTTTTTGATTATGATCGATTGCATTTTCAAATGATCGATCATATTTGAAAATATATAATAGCGGTTAAGATTTAACCGGTATTAGATGTTAACTTTAAGAGCGGTTCCAGTGGAACCGCTATAATATACAACCACATTTTTCATTTTCGTATACATCCCAGTCGCGCCACTTATCCCCAAATATCCTCCTCACTCCCGGCGAGCCCTAGCCCCCTCACTGCTCCCCCCAAGTCAGCCCTCACCCTAATCCAACCTCCACCAAACCCCAGTCATCACCACCGCCTCCCTGGCCATCATCGTGGCCATCCCTAAATCTCAACCTAACCTCCACTATTGAACCAGCCGCGCACTAGAGGTGAGTCAGAGGGGTCGCGGGTCAAGCCCTTCGGTTCACATTTTGCTGCTATGTTCTATTTCTTTTATGCCTTTTTACTGTGGATTGTTCTCCTTGGTTAATGATGAATTGTGTGTGGGTCTGGTTTATTTTCGTATGAATTGTCAAACTGACTACCTGTATTGGTTGAATCGGGTTCCGGCTTGATTCTCGGGTCTTATACTGTTATTTCCGTTTAGTTTTTTTCCCGAATATGTAGTTTTCATGTTGGTCGCGTAATTTACTAGACCTTACCATCCACAAAATGTTTGCCACTCATGCTTATCCGTATAGAACAGTTTATACACATCCAAAAGTGAAGGTATGAAGTATGTTCATTTTGTTAAGAAGATTATTGAATTTTAGGTAGATGTAGATACCGCCTTTTTTTCCTTACCTGTCTACTTAATACCCATGAACTTACCATTCTTGGTTTTTACAGCTTTCTAATCCCATCTTGATGTTTCCAGGCAATGGAGCTTATGATGGTCGATGCACTTGTTCATGCTAATAGTTATTTCGAAATTTCATATAAATAATCCTTCTCGATACTAGAAGGTTATCGGGCTTCTTACAAAATTAAAAGCATTTTTACAATGCTCTTTTGAATCATAAAACGTAATTTACTTTAAAAATGCAATCTGGATGACACAATAGTTAAAACTATTGAGACAAGTACAAGTCAAGAACTAAAGGAGGCCAGGGAGTTCATCCTGCGCATTCGAAGGAGGAATTTGTACTCGGCATGTTTTTAACCTCGTTGGTTTTCTTTGATTGTTGTCAATTACCTGCTGCAATTACCTATTACGTCATCGTATCTTCTCAAGCTGTTTGTCACAAATTCAATGCTAACTATTGTGTGGATGTTTCTAAATTTACATTACATTGGCCTAAAATGTTTGTGTGTATTTATTAAATTATAATTATATAGTCTTGCTGAACCTGAGGAAGAATTTTGTTTTGCAGTTTTGTAATGAGTACCCAGTACCCAAGGGTATGCTAGACAATTTTAAGAAGGTCACCCCTCAAGATATTGTTTACTCTCAGGTCTTCAATCCGATTAAACCTTCTCATTTGCAAATTGCATATAATTTTGATTCTTTCTCTTCAAGGAGGAATTCCATTTTGTTTTATATATGTATCCGCGAGAAGAGTGGTGGAGTTACTCCGAAAGAGGAGGATGTAGTTGTTTGTAACGTCAAAATTGATTTGACTAGTGGAAATCATAATCCTCTTGAAAGGTATTCAATGAAGAATAATCATGCTTGCTTGAACATAGACATTTAGTTTGTTTTAACTTACTATAATGTTATCCTAATGCATTATTTTTCTCTCTTATGGTGCATGTTTCTGTGGCATCATCCACTTTTTCAAGGTACATCTCCAAACCTACCTAACTATCTTTCATCAAGATATTTCTTTAATCTTCTTATATATTAATTGGTTTTTCCTGTGTCTATATTGTATTAGTGGATTATATCTTTTTTTGCACTATTAAACCTCTTACCTTATGCAGTTTGACAGTTTCCTTGCTAATAAGTTTTAGTTTAAACTGTTTTATATTACTTCGTTGGGATACTTGGGCTGCAATTGTTCAAAATTATTGAAATATTTAAAGTGGTTTAGTTTGGCCCGATTATTGGTGCTTAGTTTGGAATTAAATTATGCTAGCTGTATTGAGTTACCTAGTTTCAATAATGCATTCAGGATTACGAAAGCAATGAGAAATTTACAATACCCGATGACCGTGTAAGCCACTTGCTACCTATATCTTACCAAGATATGATAGTTAAGGTGTACTCCAAAAAGGCTGAACTGGTTAGTTATCCTGTGCATGTTTAAACTTCTTTCCTTTACCCATTCAGGTTGGATTCACTAATATATTGCTTTGTGCAATCCTATAGGTGCAGACAATTTCAGAGGCTTTTGAAAATTTTCAATTGAAGACATATGGGATCAAAGCACAGGCACATTCAACACCACAAAAGAAGCGACGTTACAATTCAGTTTTATGAAGGGAAATGTATCATTACTATGATACTATTTTTTTTTTCACCTTTATTGTGTCTCACCCTTTCTTGGTATATATGCATTTTCTACAATTGAAATATAGTCTTAAGTCCACAGAAAACAATATTGACACCCTCTTAAGGTTGTGCTAGAGTTACCATATAAAAAAGGCAATTATGTGTATAGCAGTGTTTAAGTGTAACAGTTTCATTTAGTAGTACTTGGCAATGAGAAATCTTTTCTGTCACTGTTAGTTGACAGTTTCAATTTGCAAATGTTTCTCAAATCTTAAGTTTATGACAAATTGGTCCACATTTCATGGATGAGAATGCATCTTAACTACTAACTACTAAGCATTCATTATGTAATACAATTGTGTCCAATTGGAGAAAAAAAGTTGTCTAATGAACTTGATATAATTAAAAATGTAAATAAATAAAAATAATTAACTTTGTTATTAATTTAGCAACCGATTTAAATCGGTCGCTATTTTTTTAACTTTGTTATTGATTTAGCGACCGATTTAAATCGGTCGCTATTTTTTTAACTTTGTTATTGATTTAGCGATCGATTTAAATCGATCGCTATTTTTTTACTTTGTTATTGATTTAGCGACCAATTTAAAACGGTCGCTATTTTTTTTACTTTTTTATTGATTTAGCGACCGTTTTAAATCGGTCGCTATTTTTTTACTTTATCACCACTTTAGCGACCAATTTGATATATTAATTTCGGTCGCTATTTTACGACCGAAATAAAATCGGTTGCTAACACATTAGCGACTTGGCTTTTTGCGACGACGCCTTTCGGTCGCTAACTGATTAGCGACCGAATTTTTGCCATTAGTGACCGATTTTTTCGAGTCGCTAAAATGAATCTTTCTTGTAGTGAGAGCAAGAGAAAGAACTAGAATTGAGAAAATTTCAACAAGTTTTCCATAGATTGAAGAGTAAAATGAGGTGTGTCTTACAGTGGCACAATAATGTCTTATTTATAGGTTCAAATGTGAGTTATCTAGAGTTAAAACAAACTAAATCATGATTAAAATTAATTACAAATATATCATAAATCTAACTATAGTTGATCTTCATAATACTCCCACAACCGATTTTTTAGTTTAGTGTCACCATCTTATCTGATTTATTAAAAATAAGCTTGAGCTCCAAAAATTGTCAAATATGTGCTTAAATTGAAGCTTAAGATGTTTAGTTTCCACCAATTTTAAATAACTAATTTGTTGCTTATAAATAATGGATTGTAACTAAACTAGATAAAACTAGAAAAACTAAGCTAAAATAAAAAAAATGGCTGAAATTTTAGGATCGAATCAATTTGGAAAAAAAAAAACAAGATTAAATTTTTTTTAATATAATTTTTTATAACATATAATATATTTTAATTTATTTTTTATCATATTAACTTTAAATAATAATTATTTTATCATATTATGATTTTATTTTAATAATTATTTACTTTATACTAGTTAATATATTTTATATTTATAACCTTAGTAATATTTATTTTATTATTATTTTTCTATATTATATTTTCTTTTTTTTATATATTTTAAGACGTTTGTTTGAAATAATTCTTTATTAGAGAAATCTAATTGAAATGATAATTTGTTTAACTTTTATTTATAAATTAAAATAATAAATACAAAATATATATTATAAAATAATAAATTTAAAAAATATTTTGTTAAAACAAAATTAAATTATTTATTTAACGATATACTAAAATTTAAATTTAGAATTCTCAAATGTTGGTAAATATCAAATAACGTGATGATACTGCAACTGAAATTTAAATACTTCAAATTCATTAGACTCACTAAAATTGTCCCATTTAAAATATTGTCAAGTATTTGATAAAAATACATTATAAAATTATTCTACATTTTGAATAGAAAGTGATACAAACTTTTTTGGAATATCCAACCACCTACTACCTTTTATTTACTATTCTTTCCCCATGTTATGAACCCGAGGTAAAAATCAATTAAGAATATATTTGGATATTTAATTTTCTGGTCTCCATGAAATGAAATTCTAAGTTCATGAAGTTGCATCTTAACCAGACAAAAAAACATATAAGCCACAAAATTTACAATCTTTGAATGGCATTGCATTTTCTGACAAAACCAATGGAAATTATTGCTTATCTCCTGCATGAAATCCAACTTCACCAGTACTCTATATGCTTTAAACACTTGTAAATCCTATGTAGATGTCAGGGTCAACTATGGTGAGGCATTTGATTCATCTTCTTCAACAAGACTCACCCTTCTATACCTTCTCCTCCTTTTCATCAGGACGAATTTCTTGACAACTAGAAGTCATCATTTCATTGCCCAAAACCACTCCTTGGTTTTGTATATAGACCCATTTTTCTTGAAAAAGGTACAAAAACACAAATAAAGATATCTGAACAGTGAAAAGTATGTTCCAAATTTTTATGCCTTTTGATGTTTTTTGGTGGTAGGCTCCTAATCCAAGATATACATTCAGAACACCCAGAAATGTGACTGCAGTTCCAAGTATCCAGTGTGCTAAGAACCACACACTTCTTTTGGCTCCCCTGTGAAGAACAATATCAGTACCCTATTCATCATGTTCTATTAACAACACACCAAAACCAGCAATTATAAAATGCAGTGAGTAAAACCAATTTTGACTAAAACTTGAGTGACCTAAAAACACATTTTACCTAAGTTTAAATGGCAATAAAATGAGTTTCACAATGATAGACTTTCTCAATGAAAGGGAATTCAGTAGTTATACCTTTGTTGTCGAAAAATGCCAAGCAAAACTTGGACCCAGATAATGCCATACAGTGCAACTCCTAATCTTTGATGACTATTGTTGAAGAGGTTGTTGAAATTTTTTATGGACATGATTGCTCCAACTGTGGCAAGGAGTACAGCAATCATCTGTTGAATGGAAATTCAAAAGTATAAATCATGTTAAAAGGAAAAGGTTATCAATGAAAAAAAAAACTTTAGACTAGTTATTTCTGTTAATGATGATCTATGTTAACTTCTGGCCTTCCTCATAGCAATGACTTGGTTGTATCAAGAAGGGCCAACAGCATAATTTTGTTGTCCTCTTCACAGGGTGTGTTTCCCAAATGAGATGGAAAAAGTTTGAAATCTCTAAAAACATAAAAGATTATGTAATTAAAATGCCTTTCTTGTCCTCAAAGTATCCATTATAGTCCTTGTCAATAAACTAGGAGGTAAATCACCATTGCATAATCTCATTAGCTACAAAGAAGCTTTAGGCTAAATAAAATAACGAAATCTGAATCTTGCTACTTTTAGCTTCATTTCATCATCATTAAAAGTAAACTAGTGCTACAACTAAACTTATAAAATTCATTTAACATAAATAACAGATCCAAAGGGTGGCCATGGTTTCCCTCTTCATAAAGTTGTTTGTTGTATTCTAACCTAAAACACTGTAGCTTATTGTGTACTCACTCTTATCTATTCTCAAAGTTATTTATTAACTTTAATCATTCACTAATTGACAAAATGCTTTAACTTTAGGTATTAATTACATATAAAGTTAGAGGTTAAAAAGGGCAAATAAGTTTTGAATTCATTTTATATATCCCCTTTCAAGTCATATAGATCCTACATGCGTATTTAACAGGTGCATTACTAACTTAATCAAAGAAACACAAGCTCAATCAACTTCTCAATATTTTAAAACTTTTCCATATAGCTTCTGAACTGTGAATGAAAAAATAATATAAGCTATTTGGTGAAAACAATTCCTGAAACTTTTTCCAAGAAATGTCAACTAGTAGATAGACCATTTTGAAAATTATGTACAATTTTTTTTGGCCCTTTTCATAGCACTTATTTTCTAGACCTGTCCTGTTTACTACCATAAATTGTTCTTTTCATATGTAGATCATTGGTTTTCAAGTTAAAATAAAAGAACTTACAGTATTCACAATCAATTGTTACATCTGATTCGGACTTATGATATAATATGACTTGGATATACTTGCCTGCAAAGTCGAATGAACATAAAACACAATTCTATGCCTTCTTAGATTCTCCTCTTTGTTCGACAGTCTAATTGCAAGTATACCAACAGGCATCAAGAACCCCATTGAAGCCCACAGGAGAAAGCCATGTAATGTAATCTCAAACTGAAGTCTTGGACTCATCTTAACCAATCACAGAAAAAAAGTCAGCTTCAGAGACAAAACTCATTTACTAAACAAAGGATTTAACTTGTGAGATTGGAAATTAGGCAAGAGGGGGGAAATGAACAAATGATGCTGCCAATTATGGAATAAAAGTTCAGAATATGCAAATAGATGGAATACCTTACCTTAATGTGGTTGCTGTCTTTGGTTCTTGAAGGGCTGCTTGTAATTTGCTGGTGCTCTTGAGATGAGCTAACAAGAGGGAACATGATGAATACAAGAGAAGCATGAAAGAGGAAAGAAATGAGTTTTTGCTGAACTCCCATTCTTCCTAGTTCTTTCTTTTGATGAAAATATGAAAAGAATGCTCAGAATCAAAACTCAATCTCAATTCCAATGCAGTGAAGATTTAAGGAAGCAAAAAACTATAACATTCTAAAAACCAAAACTGCATATGATTTCCCATGGACTGAAGGAGCTTATCCTCTCTCTTTTTCTAGTGTCTTCTGCTATCTGTATGTGAGGAAGGATTCTGAGCAGAGGAGCACTCTTATCTAGACAGTACAACAAAAAAAGTTGCCACCAATTCAGGGGAAATATGAGATCAATATGAGGTCAGAGAAAGCTCATCAGAAGAGGAGAAAGAGTTTAAACTTTAACCTTCCTAAAGTATACATTCCATTTCAGATTAAATTGACATTTTCTCTAGACTGTTTGCATGGAAAAATTGATTGTTGGTACTAAAGTTCATAAGATCTTATGAATAATAAATGGAAGTGAAAATGGCATTAAATGAGATTTCAAACTTGTGGGGTTCACTTGGACAGGCTTTTTGAGAATGTGGACTTGCAGAGCTAAAGTCTGTCAGATTTCAATGTGAGGGGTTAAATTTATACATGTATGTACTGAGAGACAAAGTGGGTTGTGCTAGATTTACATGGTAATAACATTATCTTATGCTTCCCACTATTGAATGCACATCATTATAACATGCTTGAACAGACTTCTCCACCAACCAAATACTGAGCTAATATACAGAATTTGGTTTTAAAAAGTGAGTCAATAAAATCAGATTCTAGAAAGATTTTCCCCTTCTGAATTAAAACCATCTCCGTTTTTAGACACTAAAATTAGAATTCCTCTTATTCTTCTCTAACTCTTAATATATAAGAAAATATATAAAAAGTATTGCTGATTTTTTTTAAAAACATTTTATAAAAGATTGAACTTTTTCTTTATTTATTTTTATCAAAGATTTTGAATATATATTTTGTAATTATTTTTATAAAAGATTTTATCAAAGAAATAAAAAGTCATATTTTCATGGAATATTCTTTTTTACATCTTTTTAACTAAATTTATTTGTCTTTTAATAATAATGATAGTGGAGTTAATGTTTCTTTTACCATTAAACAAATTGACATAAATTTTTGTTGGCATTTCTATTTATTACACTTGATATCTCATATTCATATACTATATTTTTGAGCCAAATCTTCTAAATTATTCTGTGGGTTAATTATATTATCAAATTTGTGTAACTTTGTACTAATGTTAGTGTTATGAAAGGTATAAATAGAACATTATATGTATTAAAAAAGACAGCATAGGATATGGAAAATGAAAATATGTAACAGAAACCCATAATTCTAAACACATTATTTAGGGTTCCCAGAGAAATCCTTTTAATAAGAAGAAAATATTTTAATGCCACGCCAGTCTGTGATTCAGTGTGATCTTCAATGTTTACTAATCATGTACACTTGTAGAGATTCAAGATGCTAAAAGACAAATCATTTGTCTACCACGTGAGTCATATTATTTTTATTTTATAATATTCTTTTTACAATTATCATAAAACTTTTTAGATTAACTTTTGTTAGTTGATCATCTTTCACGATATATTATGTTTTAGCCACAAATTTTTTATTTACAAAATTTAAACTTTAAAATTTATTTAATAAATTCAAGTTTAATATCACTCGCGTAAACTATTAATATGTTTTTTTTTTAACTTCTAATAATATGATACGTTTGTTTATTTTATTTTATTTAAGATTTTTTTTTATGAAACAACCACTATTTTTAACCTGTATTGGTAAATTTGTTTTCTTTTTTTTTTTTTGGTAATTTGGAATTGATGACAAGTTTCAATTTTTAAATAAAAAGAATGAATAAAAAATAGTTTACTGAATGTGAAAATAACTATTAACATATATATTTGCTAAAACTTCTAATAATATGATATTTTTGTTAAAAAAACTAGAAAAAAAGGACTTTCTTATAAAACAACCACTTATTATGTTTTTTAATAAGTTTTGTTTAATTTGTTTTCCTTTTTTTAGAACTAATGATAAGGTTAAATTTTAAAATGAAATCAGATTTTATAAATAAAAAACATTTTACTAAATGTGATACATAACTTTTTAATGGAATTAATCAACAACAAAATCAGTATATAATTACAATTTTACTTTAAACAAAATTATTATTTCCTCTATTTTCAGCTGAACGAGGTGTAACTTTGATATTCTAAAAATAATCGTAATTAAGATAAAATTAAAAACTAAATATAGATTTTGTTTTCTTAATCAAAAATCAACTGATATATTCTCTTATATTTAACATTTTCCATGATGGTGTATTTATTGGATATCTACGACAGGTTAATTAATACGGAAATATATATATAAAAAATTATGATTCATATAAAAAATATAATTTTTTTAATATATTACGTACAGTCAAGACTAAGTATAATTTATATAATTTTTTTTAATTCATTAAAATAATATATTTTAAAAATAAAATTGTCATAAAATAAAATTTTAAAATATATAATATCTTAAAATGGACTCTAATAATATTATCACGAATATAAAATAAAATATTATCTTTAATTTAAATTTTAAAATATTAAATTTTAGAACAACTTTTTTATTTTTCTTCAACATAAATCTAATCTTGATTTTTTAAAATTTCTTCAACATAAGTCTAATTTTGATTTTTTTAAATTGAAATTAATTTTTTGTGTCATTCTTTTTTTTTCTTCTCCCCCGTGAACTTTATGGGGAATTTTTTTATTTTAGAATTTTCACAATTCAGGGCATGTGACGTTGTTTTCTTCTTACTTTCCTGTGTGCTGAGAATAGAATAAAGCAAAAGAAGAATAAAGAAAATGCATAACAAATAAGATATATATATTGTAGTGGACCACCAGAGAATAAAGATACGCAATGCATGAATTTATGCTACTTTTTTTATGAGTGAATCGAAGAGTGTCTTGCGGAAGGGTACGTGGTCCTTCTTTATCAAAAATATCATGCACACCGTATCGTAAATTGGAAACTAAAGGTGAGGATATAATATACATATTCATGTATATTCATTTGCTAAGTTGTACTTTTAGAGTGATAGGTAAGTAAGTCTAAACAGCTATGTTTTGCACGTGATTCACCGTTAATGCCTTATTATTCAAGTTCATTACAACTTTGTGTATTAAATATTTATTTCAATTTGACTTTGAGGAAAGAGTGATTTGGATATGAAATGGAATGAAACACGTAATTAATTTTTGAGTTTGGAGGATACTATTAGTAAATAAGAAATTTCTTATGTCTTTTATTTTAGATTTTTTATATTTGATTAAAAATTTAAATTTATATTAGAATTTGAATAGAGATATAAATTTATGTTAGAGGGTAAATTTTATTTTTAAATCTTGTATGATTTTGAATCCATCTATTTATAATTTGGTAGGAGAAATTTGAAACTAAAAAAGGATATTGTATAATTTCGAACTCAATCTTTCATGATTTTGTTGGGTTAATCTTTAATTGAATTATGATCTCCAATCTAATGATCAAACATATATATAATCTCATACTGTAAACATGTTATAAACTAAATGCGAAAGCGTACCTGAATTATCCATAATGATGATATTCTTTGTAGAGCAACTTTGATATGATTTTATGGTCTTCCTCCTGAAGAGCACCTGTATTTCCCTATGGATTTTCTCTCTTGATGGGGATAGAAAGAAAAGAACGGGACTGTAACTACGTTCTGTCTGTGTGCTCTCAGAAGGGGACCATGACCCCTTAAAATAACCAAAATTAGGTTAACTACTTAAGTTTTAGTATTTCCAATTTGGCCCCTCATCAAATTAGAAATTACTTTATGGTCTCTACACAATTTTATTTTCATGACATATGCCTTTAGGCAAAACTTTAATTTAGTCAGATCACTTTATTATTTGTCTTAATAAATAATGACCCTAACACATTTAAATATGTATCATATATATACATGACCCAAATTTTGCCAACAATCTCCCACTGGTCACAAATATATATGTCCTTACAACCTTACAAATGTGTTAGACTTTATGAGCTCAAAATTGTCATTATATTTCTTTAGCATATTCCAAAAGTCCTGTCCATTAATCATATCAGGATATAGAACCAAACCAGCTTTTCATTGCATCATCGCAACTAAAACCAACAATGATTACTCATCCTGATATAACCAAATGACATGGATTCATCATGAAATGTGTAGCATGAAAAATTACGTGAAAGTGATCTGTACACGTCTATTTTCAACTGGTCCAAACTTTAACTTATCGAGATCGATATAATAACCTTAATGTACAAAGTGTAATGAATGAACAAAAACCGCATATCTATATATAACCAAATATGTCCAAAAATCAATGTATACATATATAAAATTAAACATAGAACATAAAATATATGAAAATGACTAACTCCCACTAAACCACAAATTCCTCAAACTGTAAAACACCCATGTGAGCAACATGCTCATGAAAGACCTTGGGCGGAAGTCCTTTGGTTAGAGGATTTGCTATCATGGAGTTTGTCCCTAAATGTTCTATGGAAATCTGTCCACTTTGTACTCTTTCCTTAACAACTAGAAACTTAATGTCGATGTGCTTTGACTTAGTCGAACTTCGTTGTTGTTGGAATACAATACAGCTCGATTTGTTGTCACAATATAACTTAAGTGGTTTTTCAATGCCTTTCACAATTTGCAGCCTCGTGACAAAATTTCTCAGCCATATTCCATGATTCGACGCCTCATAGCATGCTACAAATTCCGTCGCCATAGTGGATGAAGCCGTAAGGGTTTGCTTGACACTGCGCCAAGAAACCGCACCACCCGCTAACATGAAAATGTAACCCGAAGTGGATTTCAAACTATCTTGACATCCTGCAAAGTCCGAGTCGAAAACCCGACGATCTCCAACCGGTCCGACCTCCTGTATGTGAGCATGTAATCTTTTGTTCTCTTTAAATATCTCATGACCCTTTTTGTCGCTTTCCAATGGTCCATTCCTGGATTGCTTAAATATCTGCCTAGAACCCCAACTATGTATGCTATGTCTGGACGCGTACATACTTGGGCATACATTAAACTCCCTACAGCTGATGCATAGAGAATCTTTTCCATTTTCTCAATTTCCAAATTTCCCTTTGGGCACTGATTGAGACTAAACTTGTCTCCCTTAGCAACTGGAGTATCCCCGGATTTACATTCATGCATGCCAAACCTTTTAAGAATTGTTTCGATATAGCTCCTTTGTGATAATCCCAAAATACCCCGACATCGATCTCGGTGTATCTGAATTCCTAATACAAAAGACGCATCACCAAGATCTTTCATTTCGAAATTCTTTGATAAAAATTTCTTGGTTTCGTGCAATATGCCCATATCATTAGTGGCAAGTAGAATGTCATCAACATACAAGATCAGGAAAATATACTTACTCCCCTTAAACTTGTGATATACACAATCATCAACAATATTCATTTCGAAGCCAAATGAGAGAATTACTTGATGAAATTTATAGTACCATTGACGAGATGCTTGTTTTAGTCCATAAATGGATTTTGTCAGTTTGCAAACCATACTCTTTGAATCTCCCTACACAAAATTTTCTAGTTGCACCATATAAATCGTCTCATCAATGTTGCCATTAAGAAACGCCGTCTTGACATCCATTTGATGAAGCTCCAAATCATAATGTGCTACAAGAGCCATGATTGTCCTAAAAGAGTCTTTCGATGAAACTGGAGAGAAAGTCTCTTTAAAATCAATCCCTTCCTTTTGGGTATAGCCCTTAGCTACCAAACGAGCCTTATACCTTTCCACATTACCTTTAGAATCCCGTTTGGTCTTAAATATCCACTTGCAACCAATGGGTCTCATACCTTCTGGTAATGGGACAAGTTCCCAAACCTTGTTGTCTTGCATGGACTTATACTCCTCCTTCATTGCTTCAATCCACTTTTCAGAGTTAGAACCTTGCATGGCTTGACGGAAGTTAACTGGGTCATCTTCCATCATACCATTGTTTTCCTCATGTTCCTGAAGAAATACCATGTAATCATCCGAAATAGCACTTCTTCTTTCTCTAGTGGATCTCCGCAAAGTTATTGGCTCATGATACACAGGTTCTTGAGGATCTTGAGTTTGTTCTTCATGAACAACCAAATCATCTTGAGTAAGGGGTTCATTAACAATGGCTTGTGGAGGTTCCGAACTTACTTTATCAAAAGTAACTCGTTTGAATCGGTTCCGGAATTGTTACCGATTCTTCCTCCAAGACAAAGTTCCCGATTTTATTCTTCCCCCAAACTCAATATCCTCAAAGAACGTAGCAGTTCCCGTCTCAAAAATTGTCTTTAATGTGGGATCATAAAATTTATATCCCCTGGATCTTTCAAAGCATAACCAATAAAATAACTACTTACCGTTCGGGAGTCCAATTTCTTTTCATTTGGCTTATAAGGCCTTGCCTCAGCTGGACATCCCCACACATGGAAATGCTTCGAGACTAGGTTGTCGCCCGAGTCCAAAGCTCATAAGGTGTTTTGGTCGTCGCTTTAGTTGGTACTCTGTTCGGAATATAAGTTGTCTTCTTTAGTGCCTCTCCCCGAGTGACTTCGGTAAGGTGGAATGACAAATCATACTCCTGACCATATCTTTAATAGTTCGATTTCGTCTTTCAGCTACACCATTCATGCTAGGTGATCCCGTCATGGTATACTCGTGGGACAATTCCACACTCCTCTAGGTACCTGGCAAAAGGTCCCGGACGCCGTTCACTCGACCCGTCAAATCCGCCATAGTACTCACCACCACGATCAGATCTGACAGACTTAATTCTTTTATTGAGTTGATTTTCAACTTCAGCTTTAAATGTTTTGAACACGTCTAGAGATTGTGACTTTTCATGTATAAGGAATAAGTATGCATATCGTGAGTAATCGTCTATGAATGATATAAAGTATTGTTGACCATTCCACGAAGGTGTAGGAAATGACCCACAAATGTCCGTATGTATCAACTCTAAGACGTCTGTAGCTCTATATGCACCTAATCTCTTCACTTTGGTCTGTTTGCCCTTAATGCATTCAACAAAAACATCAAAGTTGGTGAAGTCAATGGACTCTAAGATTCCATTTAACATAATTCGTTCAACTCTATTTTTAGATATGTGACCTAAGCGCCTGTGTCATAATGCTCCTGAGTGAGTATCATCAATTTTACGTTTAGTACCCCGTGATTCTGTATTAAGGGTTTCATTATAGGTGGTCACAGTATCAAGTAAATACAAATTATCATAAGGCAAAAGTGAACCAGTTCCAACAATATCTGAATTAAAAGACAAACTGAACTTATTGTTTCCAAATGAACACAAATAACCTAATTTGTCCAGATAAGAAACTGAAACCAAATTTCGTCTAAATGACGGCACAACAAAAGTGTCTTTTAAATCCAAATAAAAACCAGTACTTAATAACAATTTAAAATGCCCTATAGCTTCCACCTCTACCGATTTGCCATCTCCAACATATATCCATCTTTTAGAATCAATTGGCTTTCGGTAGCTTAGGCAACCCTTTATAGAAACCCTGATGTTAGTAGTTGCACCTGAGTCTAACCACCAAGTGTTACTAGGTACTGACGTTAAATTGACTTCAGAACAGACCAAAGTAGGAAACATACTTTTGAGGATCGGAACATAATTTAAATTGGCAGATACAGAAACAATTGTAGCTAAATTAAAAACAAGAAAAATAAATTAATTATGATCACATTATAAAAATAAATATATATTCAAATAATGGTTTAACCCATCTCAAGACACCCAATGCACCATCAATATCAAGTCTTTGGACAAGTAATATTAACTGCTAGAGGTATCTTGTTGTAATAATCAAACATTGACAATAAAGCACGTCCAACAACAAATCAGTCTTTGGATTGATTTATCATCGACAAAGCAAATCCTTATAATTATCACATATTTATCATTACAAGTGTGTATGCAATTCGGCCAAATATTAATCTTCCTTTGGGCCGACTAATACTCGCATGAATATACACAAACACTAACATTCAATATTTTTCATGAACTGCCCAATTCAAGAGAAGTTACTTTGGTGACTTCTTGACTCAATTTGCTCACAAAAATATTAAACTACCAAATAAATTGAATATATTAATAAGGATAACCCTAAACCAAATTAAGTCTCAAGAGCCACTTCTAAAAAAAATAAAAAAATTATACTATAATGCCACGTATGATGGCTTTTTAATTGAGGCAGTGGGTCCCACAACATTAACACCATCCGATTCTCTTGTGTATCTGAAACATGACCCAATTTTCTCTGGCAACATCTTTGGATTTTTTTTTTTTCACATTAATACCATTTCGAATTATCCTTAATGACCCCTCTGGAGCCACACCGCAACAAGCAAACATTTGACCATGCTTCTCATCACGATAATCCACCACTGCCATATCCTTTTATGTTACCAAAGACAAAACAGTCCCACCGATGAACGCGTGTTACTCCAGGTGTCAAAACATTCAATTATATACCAAAAAAAATAAAAAATAAAAAAAGGAGACAGAGGGTCAATTCTGTGTCCGGTTCTCGCCGGTTCCGATTTGCACCTAGTGAGCACAGCAGGGCGTGAAGCAATGGGAGACACCGTTGGAACTCCCTTCTCGTTAGATAATAATTCCTCAACCTTTTCTGGTTGGGCCAGAGAAGCAATTTTTTGTTGCGATAAACCCCAACTTGGGTTCCGTTTGGGGTTCCTCGGAGGCGGGTTCCTTGTTTGGAAACTCCGTTTCTTGGTCCTGAACGGGGAACTCCAAAACCTACAAGCCAGCGACGAGGATCTGTACGGCGCGGATCTCCACCTTCAATATATATCAACGCTGCCTGAAACGTTTCGCTCCTCTCGCTCGAAATTGGGAATTTGGGAATTTATCCCAAATTCGAAATTAGGTTTTAAAATTGGGGATTTTACCCCAAATTTAAATTTAGGGTTCGTAAAATTTGGAGATTATTTTCCAAGGGAATACATAAATCTCAATTTTGTTAAATCTAATTTCCAAATACAAACATGAATCAAGTATGGGTTGTTCTGATACCAATTGTTGAGTTAATCTTTAATTGAATTATGATCTCCAATCTAATGATCAAACATATATATAATCCCATACTGTAAACATGTTATAAACTAAATGCGAAAGCGTACCTAAATTATCCATAATGATGATATTCTTTGTAGAGAAACTTTGATATGATTTTATGGTCTTCCTCCTGAAGAGCACCTGTATTTCCCTATGGATTTTCTCTCTTGATGGGGATAGAAAGAAAAGAACGGGACTGTAACTACGTTCTGTCTGTGTGCTCTCAGAAGGGAACCATGACCCCTTAAAATAACCAAAATTAGGTTAACTACTTAAGTTTTAGTATTTCCAATTTGGCCCCTCATCAAATTAGAAATTACTTTATGGTCTCTACACAATTTTATTTTCATGACATATGCCTTTAGCCAAAACTTTAATTTAGTCAGATCACTTTATTATTTGGTTTAATAAATAATGACCCTAACACATTTAAATATGTATCATATATATACATGACCCAAATTTTGCCAACAGATTTCTCAAAAGAGTACTTATAATAACCTCTTTTTTCTTCTTACTAGCCTCTTTAGTCATTTTTTTCTTCTCAATTTTGAACATCCCTTATTTTTCTTTATTTTCTCCAAGTCCTCTTAAATAATTTTACCATTCCCACCTAGAGGTACAAATCTATTTAATTTCAACCAAAGATATTCATACCTTAACTTGAATGAGATCTCAAAAATAACTACAACTTTAATGTCAATAAAACATATAGAGACATAAAGCATTAATTTTAATCACACAATAAATGCCCATATACTTCAATTTCATTAGAGAAAAATATCTATAACCACTAATGGATCACAATAATAATGTTACCTCACCCTAATAAAAAATATCTAAAAAGCTTATGTTGATATCATCGTTGTCATCACGTAAAAAAAAAAAATCCTGGTGCACACAAGAAGAAGTTTTAAAAAAAGATATAAAACATTTTTTTTATGTCAAACCCATATATTCCAACGTAAAAAAAATATTTTACTTTTAAAAATGTTACCATCTTTTATTACGTGAAGCTTTTACTAATCTAATAAAAACAATTAAAATAAAGCATATATTATTTATTTTTGTCATTTGATTTTAATCATGTATTTTGTAATGCAATTGAATAGTATTAATTCATAATAAATTTAAAGAATTAAAATCATAGAAATATAAAATTTAGACGACTTTGATTAATACAGATAAAATTTAGTGAAGAATAAAATTACATATTTGCTATACTTTGATCTCTAAATGGGAGAAATTGAAACTTAAAAGCTATAATCCAATAATTAAAATATTAAAATAAATACAACTATAATTGAACTGTAAAGTTATTATTCAATTATTTGAATATTTTTAAAAGAGTACTATAAAGTCTCACAACTACCAAATAATTTAAGGTGTGAGTTATAACCATTTGTTTTGCATCTTTATAATCATATATATCTCATGCTTGTTAACCATCCTCCTATATCTAATCTCTCTCAAAAGACTAATATTATATATTCAATTTTTTTTTTACTATATCATATTTTGAAATTAAAAAGAGGTAGATATTATATTAAAAATGATTTGAATCTTTTAGATGACATAGCTCTTGGATAGAAAGGGGTGAAATTTAGCCAATTTTGTTTTGTTTTATGTTCCACATTTCAAACAATAAAACTTGATATTAATCATTGCATTCCATTTCTTTGAATCATTCCATACACACATATGTGTGGTTAAAATTTTGCAACAAGTTCTTTTGTCATTAGAAAAGGAATCAAAACAAGCTAGTCAATAACTAATTATGATTAAGGTAAAGTTAAAATGAAATATTACTATGTCATGTGATTGAACTTTGGTGAGGGAAGAGTATGCAAGTATATATATTATTGCCCTTTAAATTAAGGACATTCCTGATTGCATTAGTTAAACAAATCTGGAATGTTGGTTAATAGTTTGTCGTTATACACACAGAAGAATTATATCACAACCACCATTGGATCATCATAAAACCTAATGGGTCCATGACACATGAGGCCATCATACATTTTTTTTTTTTTTCTATCAGCATATGAGGTCGTTGAAATGTCATATGTGCTCCAAAACAAACATTGCCCACTAACAATCATTCTCTTTGAAAAAAATATCAAAGGTTATTTCCTTTTTCTAATTACCTATTTTAATATTAAACTCTTCCTATTTTTAAAATTTTATTCCAAGTTTTTTTTTTTACCATTTTTTTTTATGGATCTGATAAATTTTTAAAGAGATAATATGTCAGGAGTGAATTTAATTTGTGGTGATAAGAAAAATTGAATTTAATTTGTAAAATTTAAATATTTATTCTCAGATTTTATTAAACAGGTGTTTTTAGAAGACATTATTATTTTATTTAGAAATTTTAAATTTTGATGTAATAAATCTTGATATATTTTAGATATTGTTTGTGAGATCTTTTGAGAAGATTGGTGGATTCGCCCCAAATATGATAAGTCTCTTAACAGGAATTCGCAATCTTTAGAACAAAAAGTAAATACTAATGAGAGGAGAGGAAAATTCACCTTAAATATTCTATAATACTTAAGTTAGTAATTATTTATTAAGAGAATAGAAAGTAATGGGGAAATGAAATACTATATTTTTATGGATAAAGATTAAGTCAATATTATGAGCAACAACATCATTTCTTAGGATATAATGTATCAAAAATCTATTTAGTTTATTTAATTTTTTTATCTCAATATATTATATATAATATTATCTAACTTATGCCCTACCTCCATTTTCACTTCACCTCTTTTTGTCTTTTCTTCATTTATAACCTTTTTTTGTTAAATATTTTGGTGTCATTTGTTATCTCATTTCCTTAACCATTGTTGTCATTTTTATTTTTATTTTCTAAGATTCATCTTTTCTTATCTCATTTTTATTCTTATTTATTTTTGGATTCTTTGTTCAAGATGTCTTCTTTGTCTATTTTGTTGGCTTCTCATTGCATAATGTTAATTTTCTAGTGGTTAAGGAAGTTCATTCAATCAAAGATGACTCATTTGAAAAGAATACGGAATCTATTAAATATACCTAAGAAGAGATTGAGATTCTTTTATATAAAAACTTTGACAAAACATGCTCCCTCATTATAAATTCCATATCGAGGATGTCAAAACCCACAATACTCAAAAGACCTAAAAGCTTAAAATTGATGGAGCCAAAGAAAAGTGCAAGGACAAGTTTATCCTTATAATTTCGAGTACTACTATCACTACAAAAAAAACGCTTATTATCTATGGGTAAATCCGTAGGTAATGACAAAAATCCGTAGGTAAAACACTCACCTAAACAAAATATTTTTATTTATTACAACCCAAATATTTTCAGAACTTTGAATTATTATTAGATTAAGGGAATTGTCATTGACAGGATTCAAACCCAAGTACTTCGAATTGGAGGTCGATACTCCAACCACTAAGCTATTAGGATATTTTGATAATAATTTACCAATAAATTATATTTATATTTATCCGTGTAAATATATAAATATAAAAAAATATATAAATATAAAATATATAAATATAAAAAATATATATAAATATAAAATATATAAATATAAAAAATATATAAATATAAAAAATATATAAATATAAAAAATATATATAAATATAAAATATATAAATATAAAAAATATTTATATTTTGATATATTTATATATTTATATATTTATATATTTGTATTTATATATTTATATTTATATATTTATATTTATATATTTATGTATTTATGTATTTATGTATTTATATATTTATATATTTATATATTTATCTATTTATGTATTTATGTATTTATGTATTTATATATTTATGTATTTATATATTTATGTATTTATGTATTTATGTATTTTTATATTTATATATTTATGTATTTATGTATTTATGTATTTATGTATTTATGTATTTATGTATTTATATATTTATATATTTATATATTTATATATTTATATATTTATATATTTATATATTTTATATTTTATATTTATATATTTATATATTTATATATTTATATATTTTATATTTTATATTTATATATTTTATATTTATATATTTTATATTTATATATTTATATATTTATATATTTTATATTTATATATTTATATATTTTATATTTATATATTTTATATTTATATATTTTATATTTATATATTTTATATTTATATATTTACACGAATAAATATAAGTATAATTTAGTTATAAATTATTATTAGAATATCCTAATAGTTTAGTGGTTGGAGTATCAGTTTTCAACTTTAAGGTACTCGGGTTCGATTATTGCTAGTGACAATTCTTTTAGTTTAATATAATTTACCTACGGATAGTAATTCCGTAGGTAATACCTACGGAATTACCCACGGATGACATTACCTACGGATATTATCCGTAGGTAATGGATAATTACTCACGGATAGAATTCCGTAGGTAATATCCGTAGGTAATGTACACTTTACCTACAAATAGTAATTACGTAGGTAATTACTTACGGAATTATCCACGCATTACATTACCTACGAATAATATCCGTAGGTAATGGATAATTACCTACGAATAGAATTACGTAGGTAATATCCGTAGGTAATGTACAATTTACCTACGGATTTTCATCCGTGGGTAATATCCGTAGGTAATGTAAAATTTACCTACGGATTTTTATCCGTAGGTAATAGGCTTTTTTTTTGTAGTGTATTATATATTTAATGAGAACCATCACTGTAGTTTTGTTTACCTCAATTTTTTCGATTGAATAGTCACTACTACAGAAAACACTTTCTACGACACAAATCGACATCGATTTTTATGAAGACCGACGTTGTATAAAATGCGGTGGAAAACTTGTAATTATCAACCAATATTTAACGTTGGTTATAACAAAACCGACGTAGGAATCAATAAATAATGTCGGTTAGATAATAGTCGACGTTAAATGTTTAAATTTAACGTCGGTTATACATAACCGACGTTGAAATCCCAAAATCAACGTCGGTTTTATGATTTAACTGACGTCGAAAGCATTATCCATGTTGGTTTTTTGAACAACCGACGTCGAATGTCCTAACATATTTTTTATACCTAATTCGAAAGCGCGCAGTTCTTCTTCTGCTTCTTCTTCGTTCTCTACTACCCTAGTCCTCATCGTCGTGTTGTATCCGCCCACACTTTAGTGTCCTGCATTGCACCGCCACTGCTTCCTTGTTTGACGTGGTAAGACCGCCCCCTCGCCGCCCCTCGCCACGCTCTTAGACGTCGTTGTACCATCGCTGTTGTCGTGTATGTGGTACCCCTCGTTGGCCTAAGGAAACCCCTTCTCATCAGGTTAGATTAAGTGGTATGAATGATTTACAACATTCATTTAACATAAATATGGATGATTTAGAGCATTTCCTACATATGAACAGTGGAAAGATTATGGATGATTTTGTATGGTTTGATTTGATCTAGGTTCCTTTAGGCTTTGGAAGTTTTTTTTCAGTTTCGAAGTGGTATATACTCTTTCATGTAGATGTACACGTTTGACTGTGACTGTTTTTGGGGTTATTTTCCCATTCTCTACGTGGGAAATCATATTATCATTATGAGCAACTTGTTTGCTATCTTTTTTTTTGTATTGTTTTGCTAAACCTTTCCAATAAACCTTCAATATCTAGGCAAGCCCTTTTGTGTATGTTAGATGGATCGAAGTTGGGTGAATGCAAGTTGCATGTCAGAAGAGTATGAGAATGGAGTTGACTCCTTTTTGGAATTTTCCGAAAAAAATTCTCCCAAAACGAATGGAAAAATCTATTGCCCATGCGTTAATTGTGTAAATGGCAGACTACAAGAGATGGACACAATGCGGTAACATCTTATTTGCGATGGGATGATGAAGAATTACACCATATGGACATGGCACGGTGAAGTGGTTGATATTCCAACAGTATCACAAACTATTGAGGATGATGTGACCTGTGAAGATTGAATAGAGGACATGCTTTGTGATATGGGTCAAGAGAGCTTTCTTGAAGCACATGCAGTTGTATATGATACATTGAGGACCGATTCAGAGACACCTTTGTATCCCGGATGTACAACTTTCACACAATTGTCATCTGTGTTAAGATTGGTCAATCTAAAAGCAAGATTTGGTTGGAGTTATACAAGCTTTAATGAATTACTCCAACTTTTGAAGGAGATGCTCCCAGACAATAACACCTTGTCGGACCGTATGTATGAAGCGAAGAAGATACTTTGTCCGATGGGTTTAGAATATAGGAAGATACATGCTTGCCCTAATGACTGTGTGTTATACATGAAAGAATTCTCATCTTTAGATCAATGTCCAACATGTGGTGTATCACGTTACAAAGTGAAGGATGGTGATGATTGTAGTCAGAAGAGTGATAAAAAACGTCCTCCTGTAAAGGTTTTATGGTATCTTCCAATAATTCAAAGATTTAGGCGGTTGTACGCTCACGAAGATGCTGAAAATTTAATTTGGCATTCAAAGGGAAAAACCTGTGATAGGCAAATGCGACATCCATCTGATTCTCCCCAATGGAAGAATTTTGACCGTCTATTTCCAGGTTTTGGTAGTGATGCAAGAAACCTTAGACTTGGATTAGCAACAGATGGGATGAATCCTTTTGGAAATTTAAGTAGTAACCATAGTTCATGGCCCGTTTTATTGATGATTTACAATCTTTCACCATGGTTATGCATGAAGCACAAATATGTCATGCTTTGTATGATGATTGCAGGTCTAAGACAGCCAGGAAATGACATAGATGTGTATTTGAATCCATTGATAGAAGACTTAACACTATTATGGAAGGAAAGAGTAGATGTGTTTGATGGGTATCAGTAGCAGAAGTTCAAGTTGCATGCAATGTTATTTTGTACCATTAATGACTTTCCTGCCTATGGAAACTTGAGTGGGTATAGTGTGAAGGGGCATTATGCTTGTCCTATTTGTGAAGAAGAGACCAGTTATCTACAATTGAAACATGGAAAGAAGACATTTTATAACAAGCATAGAAAAATTCTCCCGCATGACCATCCATACCGTAGACTGAAGAAAACTTTTAATGGCATACAGGAGGATGAAATTGCCAGAGAACCATTGACTGGTTTACAAGTTTACGATCGGGTGAAGAACATAAGCATTACATTTGGAAAGACCCAAAAAAAGTCTTCTGACAAGAACATGTGGAAGAAAAGATCAATTTTCTTTGATCTTCCATATTGGAGCCATTTAGAAGTACGACATTGTATTGATGTTATGCATGTGGAGAAGAATGTATGTGATAGTCTCATTGGCACATTGTTAAACATTCAAGGAAAGTCAAAGGATGGGATCAAAGCACGTCAAGACCTTTGTGAGATGGGAATACGTCCTAAATTACATCCAAGGCCTGAAGACAATATAACATATCTACCACCAGCATGTCACACCTTGTCAAAGAAGGAGAAAAGTAGTTTATGTCATTGTCTTCAAGGTATTAAAGT